GAATCTACCATATTTTATAAGCAGAATTTAATTTGTCTAAAAGATATCTTATCTTAATTTAGAGCAAATCAATACACCTGGATAAAAACAACGGTATGCTAACACGTGATAATATCACCTTAATATATAATTATTCTTAATTCCACCTGCAGAATGGAATGTTTATAACTATATATTCTTTAGTTAACTAAGATTTCTTAATATGGAAATCTGACCGTGCTTTATCCAGTCATATATAATACTATTAATACATTTTAATTAATTTAATTAATTAAATGAAACCAGTATAATTACCAGTTGAGTAGATATTTCATCCGATTGGTAGTCTCAGGAACTTATTTGGATGTCTCTCTGCATGGAGGTTGGAGTCCCCAAACTTCCAATTCCTCTCTCCTCTTTTCCTTTCTCCTTTGCATCTCCTGCCTACCCTGCATATCTCTATCTTCCCTTTGTCTTAACTTTTAAAGGGCCAGACTCTCTGTACGTCATCAGTTGATAACCCAATAGAAGCACTAGAGGTGTGGTTATCTTCCAGATCGCAATTTAGTTATTTGGTCTATAGAGGGCAGTCTTGTCCCACTAAACATACCTATCCAGGAAAGAGTTAACTTTTCCTAGTGGCTATTTTGACGTCATTTTGCTTATCTCAAATGACCACTATAACTTACGTATCCTTCACAGATCAAAGGGTTTATTTAAGTTTTGTCCAGACTATGTGTCTAGCAATCTGAGTTTTGACCCGTAACTTACAATGGGACCTTATATGTATAGACAGTTAAATTGTATTATTTAATCTTCTCTGTCACAATTGTCTGGGTTTAGAATTGATTATATTCTTCTTATCACTTGTTTATACTATGCATTCCTTAGCTCTGGCAAAGTGGCTAGTCTTACAGAAAGAAATCTTGTGTCTTTTTTTGTTAACTTGAAAATAACAAAATGGACTCTGGTCTGTTCAGAGTGACTCAGAATATACACTTTTAGTTTCTATCATAGCACAAGATGTCTGCCGATATAAATACCCTGACAGTGTGGGAGTGTCTGTGTGTATTGTACGGATTGATTGGTTGTATTTCAAA